TGAGCGCATGCAGCAATTACGAGCCATGCTCAGAGTTGCAAATCCAGCCCTACAGTACACGATGCTACGCAGGATGCACAGTGCGCCCTTCTGGAGAGATTACAGATTGCAGATACAATCCACGACGTGGAATGAGGACACCACTCAAGAGACAAGCATGTTATACAGTACCTTCCCCACGGAAAATAATAGTTGGTACCTTGGCAAGGCCAAAACAGCTCGGAGTACACATAGAATTAACTGGAATGGTGCCGTCAGCCGCTTTCGTGAGCACTGGTGTGCAGCCTTTAAAGGCATGGGCGGACAATAGCACCGACCCGCATACAAAAGCTGGAAAGGCTGCGCTCTCTGGAGCCCTGTTTCAGCTCCCCTTGCCCACGGACCCACACAACACATGCTTCGTTATGAAACACGTTGCATTGAGATCCTCCAGCCTCCGACACAGCGTAGCCCAGGAGCCCATCATCATCATTATCAATGTCGCGAACGCGTGCCGCGACTATTCCCTAGGTTCAGGGCGCAGCTGTCGAAGGAGAGAGAGTGCGAGCTTAATACTCTTCGAGGAATTAGAAAAAAAAAAAAAAAACACCTTAGGAACATATTTGATACCCAACGGATATCCTTTGATGCGTTGGTCGCATGGTGTCGTGCGAAACTCCTCATTCCCCGCGCGCGCGCAGACACTCATGGACCAGAGAGGTTTCGAACCCTGGCTTGCAATCTACCTTGCCCAACCTGCCAACAGATTGCAGTATTGGGCCATGTGGAGGCATGCCCATCTGGTCGAGTACGCACTTACCGTTTGGCCTTGGGCAGGTCGACTTCCGAAGCGAATGTGCACGCTTGTGCGTAGTAAGCTTGAAAGGTTCCTTTCCTCAGGCAACCTCCTCCCCACGCGCGCATGCACAGTTCGCGCCCCATGTAATGGCCCCCAAGCACTGCGAAACATCAGGGGTATTTTTCCGTGCATACTTACATCAAGTCTGTAAGTTCCAGCCCTATCTCTTTGAGTTCATGCGTGCCAAAACACGTGTTTGCGGCGCCAGAGTTCCATCGCACATCGACGCCATCACCGATCGGTTTGCTGCTGCTGCTAACTTCTCGTTCGCCAATTACCAGCGGATTAAGATTGACCCCCAATATATGTATCGGTTGGCCCCAGATGTGTTTCGCAGTGACATGTATTGGAATGTTCTCACCCCCTTTTCTCACCCTCATTTGTCTGGCAGCATGTATCTGAAGCCATCAAAATGCATCGTGGGACGTGCTCATTTGAGGGTCACTCTGTTCGGTGCAATTTGCTGCGCGCCCGCTTTGGAGCCATGCTTGCCCGACCCATGTCGCAGGGGACGCACCGCGCCCCCATGCAGCAGCTGGGAGAGGAGATGCGGCAGGGGCCCCCAGAATGCGCGTGGATTGGACTCGACAAAGACCCACACAGACGCGCGGGCATGCCGTGGTTTAGATATGTTGCCCAGCTTGGAGACACGTTTGCTTCAGACACAGCCCACTATGAATACCCACCCCAGCATGCTGCAAAAATGGTTGCCAAATTACAAAGAAAAAGAGATCAGCTCATCGTGCCCCAAAAATGGGGGAGTCGCCAAAGAGCTGGGCCACAGCGCATCCCTAAGGCATACCTCACGGTTAAAAGGCAAGTGCTTGTCAGCTGATGGTGAACTCGTTTGTGCCAAGCCGCATGCACATATTAGGGAGTTCGTGTCAAATATACTTGCCGCGCAGCGTCATTTCTTACGCAAGTGTTCACGTGCGATTCGGTTGGCCAAGCGTCTCTCAGGTGACCCGAGCTGGACTCTCTGGAACCCCTTTGAACTTCCCAAGGTCCTGCGAGGAAGGGTCTCTCGACTTCCCCGAGTTGCCCAGTATGCACGCGGCTGCAAGAGCTGTGGATGCAATGAACCCTCCCTGGCCTTCTGTAAAGCAGATGCATCACAATTTTTAAAGGTTGCAAGTGTGCCCCGTGGGGCGGCTTGCATACTTGAGTTGCTCGACCGCCTCGCGAAAAAAGCATCAGTATTTCGGAGTTCTTGTGCGTGGAGGGAGAAAGGCTCATGGGCACCTTGTGCGACAGGGTGATCACATCAAGCCCAAGTATGACCTTGTCACTTTCAATGACATTCGAGCAGCCCTGTCACATGCGAAGCTTGACGCATATTTCCTGGTCGGAGATGCAGTGTTTCGGAGAAAAAAAGGCCGGGCTATGGGCGGAGCCCTCAGCGAGCCAGCGACGCTTGCAGACCTCGGCTCCAGTCTCATGCGCCTTTATCAGAACGACAGGTTTGCGCAACACACTGGCCTTGCTTTCCCAGGACTGTCAGCAGTGGATACAATCCAAGGAATCCTGTATGTTGATGACAGTCTATCTTTCTCACGAATATTATGTAGTACTTGCATATTCACAGCGTTACAACGTGTTTGTTTCTAGAGATGTTGGGTTCACATGTGAAGCATCCCCCCATCCCTCTCACGTTCTTACAAGCTTTCATCCACCAACCCTCCCATGACGTTGAGTTTCGATGTGATGCGTTCTCAGGCAATGAGGAGTTTGCCCGAGGGCTACAGCAAAACCTTAAATATGCCAAGTGTCCCGCGTTCTTCTCGGCCGTTGATTGTCTTCCCCAACGTTCCCTGGACACCAGAGTTTGGGAACGCCTTATTAGCTATAACTCCATGGGGGAAGGAGACCCTGCTCGTGCCCAGGCTGCCCTCGTCGACCTCCTTTTTCCGAGCTACTCCTCCTGGAGTGGCCCGCTAAGATGGTCGGGAAAGGCGCATGCAGGCTTCCGCGCAGGCGCGCATCGCTGTTCCTTCTCACCGCGAGAGCCCCGGGGAGACTGCCAGCAAGATGTGGCCATGAGTTCGACGAGGGCCGAGCCTCAGGAAAGCTTGGGGCTGTGGAGACCCAGGCACTTCTGCCCACGTCCTTCCGCGCGCTTTTGGCTCAAGCCTCCAGTCAACTTTCCAGAAGCTCGCCTTCGCATGCGCGTCCTAGCGCATATCCAGTTGCTCTGCGCCAGTTGGGCCATGGGCTGGTCTCCCGGCGGCCGCGGCAGCAGCGGTTCCAGAGGCCCTGGGCCCAGCGGGGGCAAGCCGTGCCGGCGCCAGCAGCAGTGCCAGCAGGGCAGCGACTACCAGCAGTGCCAGCCGCACCAGCAGCAGCACCACCAGCGTGGACCCCCAGCATGGACCCACTCGGCACTGGAGGAGAATCGTGACCTCCAGAATATATTCACAGCCCGCGAGGAGAAGCGAGAGCGCAAGGCCATGGCCAAATCGATGCGCTCTTCGATTGCCAAAGGTGTTCGGAACTGCGTTTCAGATCTTTTCGGGTTCAAGCCTGACTCCAAGACGGCAAAGAAGACGATTGGGAAGGATTAGAAGTTTTTTTATTATTATTAAAAAAACGTGGCTTTGGGTTCCTCACAATTGCCCAAAAACGTGTATTGCGACAGGTTGACAGCAGCACCTCATCGAGCAGCACATCGACAAGCAGCAGTGCTAAAAGTGATGACAAAACAAAGCAGAAACTCAACATGCAGCTCTGAGGAAGAATGTTACAAAAGAAAAAGCGGACTGCGAAGCAGAATCCTGCTACAGCTATGCTTGGGGTGTTCAAAAAATGGTTGGCAATTCAAAGACAGAAGGTTTTGAATGCGTTTCGGACTCAGATGATGGCGACTCTTCGAAGCTCCAAAAAATGATGATGCAGGCGAAGTCAGAGAATAAGAACCAAGATGCGGACCTCATGAAACAACTCTTGGAGAGGATCCAGCCCAACAAACCGAAGCAGCCCGACCCGACGGCCGACCTCCTCGCCATCCTGCAGGCAGTGCGCGATACTGGAATGAACTCAGGACCCGCTCCAAGCAGACCGACCCCGCAGGAGGATAATGCAGCCTTGCTTCGTGGACTCCTCGTTCAGATGCAACGCGCGCCCGTGACCCCCTCTAAGAGATCAGACGCACCATCCACAGCCCCCGAGCCAGCAGAAGAAATCGAGGGGGATGATGTTACACTGAATGCGTGCATTGAGGTTGCCAGGAAAATCTTACCCGACACGGACACGGATGACTGGCCAAAGGATGGAGAAGCGTTTATTTCTCGGATTGCGTCGGCAGCAGGGATTACCCAAGCAGTGCTGAACAAAATCTTGAGGGCCAGCGGCCTCTCGGAGACCACGGGCACCAACAAAACGGCGAAGGTGAAGCAGCTCGTGGACCACATGTTCGGTGGGAAGAGCATCCAGATGCCACCCACTCAGTGAGTATGCCCAGGAAGAACCCTTTCTTGCGGTGGCGCCGTCGCCGACTGCGGCGCATGCGCCGACTCGTTTGGATTTCGTGGGCCCCTATTGGCATAGTGTGTGAATTGTGCCATGGGCCTTGCATTCTCAGGTAGTGTGTCATATGAAGTGTGTGAGTGGATCAGTCTTCTCACGATCCATATTTCCATATTCTTTACTGCTGCCTATTCCTGCTGGGAGGGCGCAGCAGCAGCAACAGGACTTAACAGTTTGATTGCCACCCTGAATGTTCCTGCTAGTCATGTAGTCACTGTGCATTTTGATGTTCAGTATAGCATACCAGCATTGACTTGATTTGACTGGCCCGCAGACGCGGCTCAGGGAGAGGGAGAGCGTAACCTCAGAGTCCAGAGCATGGACTGCCGTCTCAACTCGGCGACCCTGACGATAGGTGCTGAAAGCGTGGGGAGGGGGAGGAAGGGAGAGCCAGGCCTTTGCAGATCCTTGTCTCTCCTACCTCGGTCCCTCGTTGCTATCATCATATCATCGGTCATCCTTCTACCAGCAGCAGCAGCAGCTGCAGCAGCAGCAGCAGGGAGCAGGGAGCAGCAGGCATCAGCTAGGGCAGCAGCGGGTGGAGCAGCAGCATCAGCACTGGCAGCCCGAGCCGTAGCAGCTGGAGCAGCAGCAGCCAGATCGGCAGCAGCAGCAGCAGCAGCAGCAGCAGCAGCCAGAGGCCGCCGCCCCGGCGCCCCTGGCGGCGCCCGCGGCCAAGGAGTCGTCGGGCGAGGCGCCGTCCCCGCCGGGCGGGGACCAAGGCCGGCGGGGCAGGGAAGGGGCAGCCACATGTCCGGCCTTCCTCTTCCTGCTCCTCCTCCTGCTCCTCCTCCTCCTCCTCCTCCTCCTCCTCCTCCGCTCTCCTCCGCCCTCCTCCGCCCATCTCCGCCCTCCTCCGCCTTCTCCTCCTCCTCCCTCCTCCTCCTCCTCCTCCTCCTCCTCCTCCTCCTCTTCCTCCTCCTCTCGGACGGCGCTGGGACGAGGATAAACCCGTTCCAGAGCGTTCCGGAGCGCTCTCTGAGCATTCTGGGACGCTTTGAGAAGGCCGCGGCGCCCGAGACATCCTTCAGAGCCGCCAGATCTCAGAGGTTTTCGACGTATCCTCACTCAATTTTATCCTCGTCCTGGTTTCGTCTTGTCCCCATTGGTTTCAGTTCGTGTCCCCGTCTGTGCGTTTTTGCTCCGCATCCCCGTGCGTTTGTTCTCCGCATCCCGTGTCCAGGGGCAGGGGAAGGGGCAGGCACGAGTCCGGCGGGCGAGGGAAGGCCAGCGGGCATCGAAGAGGGAAGTATGGGACCCCAATATATACACCACCACCACCTCCCCCTCCCCTTGCCTCTCCCAGGAGCGAGGAGGGGAAGAGGAGGGCGGAGGAGGGAGGGGGAATGGATGTGGTAGTGGTGGTGGCGTATATTCTTGGGACCCGCAGGAAGAGAAATGGTAAACAACATCAACTTTCGGAACCCCGCGCAGATTTTGTAGGTCTTCGCTGGGCTCACCTGGCGGGCTCCGCGCGCCAGGGAGGGGGTCCAGCGCCGATGCAAGAAATCCGCGCGGACCTCCGCATGTCTATGTTTATGCTGTCTTTTGTTCCTCTGGGCAGGGCCAAGGGCAGCGGAAGGGGACAGGTACGAGGCCGGCGGGCAGATGACAAGTGAAGGCGGCGGGGAATGGGGGTGGTTTTCGACCCCCTGGGAGACTCATCGGGTTCGACCCCCAACCCCTCCTAGAGATTTCTGACACAATGAGTTCCCCCTGCGGTACAATCGGGCCACTGAAGAAGGAACCCCTTCTGGGGGGGAGGGCCCCAGTGCCCCTGAATGGTTTTACAAGTTGTTTCAGGTTTTCCCTAGGTTTTCTTTGCGAAGTTTAACTTATAGATGAAAAGAGTCTCGTTCCTGATGTAGTGTTCCTTATGACAGCGCTTCGATTGTATAGATCTTTGACACGAGGGGTTCCTCGGGGGGGTAAGAGACACAGCTACCCCAGCTTTGATTGGTCGGCGGGGGCAGAGGCCCTCGGGAGGCTCATGCTACAGCTCCTCCTTTCGCTCCACCTCCTTCCCCTGGCCCCGCTTTTTCCTTTAACGCCTCCGCTTCATCCCTCCTCCTCCTCCTCCTCCTCCTCTCCTCGTCCCGCTCCTCGTCCTCGTCGTCCTCCTTACCCGTTCTCCCCCTCTTCTTCTTCTTCTCCTCCTCCTCCTCCATCTCCGACCGCTCTTCAGCCACCCGCAAGGGCCTGACCTCTTCAAGGTCGATCTCGAGCTGCCGGGTCGGAAGGGCCCGCGGAAGAGGAATACGTGATGCCCGCTCGGCAGGGGAGTCCTTCGTAGCTTGTGCGCATGGTCTTTTGCATGTCTGATTTTTGCCACGGCTCTCCTATTAGCTTTGCCCGCCCCTGTCGCTCCCTTGCTGCCTTTGCGCTGAACTTATGTGCCTGATGCAGTGTGGGATAAAAGGATGCCTGGCGCGCATCGTCATCGACACCCCCTTCCCCCCCTCTCTCTCTTGGCCCCTCGTCCTTGCCCCTGCGGCCCCGAGCTTCGTCCTGCGCCCCCACCTGTTCCCCGGGGCCTGGGGAGCGGCCTGCACAGGGCGCCGCGGGGTCCAGCCTCGCGCACCTCCGGGGCCTCGGCCCCCGCGGTGTATCGGATGCCTCGGCAGCCGGGGCCATGCCCCGCGCCGGCCCACTCCCGGATGTCCGCCCCCTCCCACCCGAGGCGGAGAAAGCAACTGCAGCACCCAGGAGGATCGCAAGGTTCTCCGGCATTCGTCGGATTCTCTGTTTTCGGATGTTGCGAGGGCTTCGGCGGAGCTGAGGGGCGACAGAGAGCGCCCCAAGCCCCAAGAGAGTCCCCCAAAAACCTTGGACAGTTTCAATGCGGCCACAGGAGGGCCGAAGAGAGCCTCTGGAGGAACCCAAGACGGCCCCACTGTGCCCCAGGACGGCCAAAGGCGTCCCGAGACGGCTCCAAGACGACCTTCCGTAGCCGTTTTGGCTCAAGGCCGTTTTGTTTTAAGACTGGTGCGGGCTATTGCTTTTGACGTTGCCGGAAACGCCCGCGACACGCGACACGTTGCGCGACCATGGTGGAGCTCGTCCCAACAGTAAAAACTCCCAGGGAGGGGTTCCAAGGCATGAGACGAGGACGTGGCGATGGGCGGTGACCCATCCATCAAAATCTCCCACCTGTCCTACCTACTCGGATTTCTGTATTGGCTTCGGGGGCACGCGCGCAGTCCAGGACAAGCCGACCAAGTTGTTTAGCGTCTCCTCCTGCTCGCTCCCTGCCGCCGCCGCCACATACTTCTGCGACGCAGTCTTGCGCCGCAGCTGTGTTTAAGGATCGAGGCGCAAGATTCGTGCCAGGAGCGTGTCACGCGCGCGTGGAAAAGGAAGGTGCCTGGGTCGTCGCCTCGTCGTCGTTCCCTCTTCCTTTGCTCCCTCATCCTACTAGATCAGCTTGGCCGATTGTTGAAGGCATGTCGGAGCTACCCATATTGAACAGCAAAAAGGCAGATTCATTAACCTCATCAGCATCATACACCACTTTTCCCGGGAACTGCCCATTCAAATTTTTGATTGGTGACCATGTCGTTCCGACTGAAGAGAGCGTTCCGACGCTGGCACAACCAGTTGATCGGGATTATAAGTTGGATCGCGACCTCTCAGCTCCCCCATCCTACTATATCAGCTTAACGGATTGTTGGAGACATGTCGGAGCTACCCGTGTTGAACAGCGATGAGGCCGATTCATTAACATCATCATCATCATCATACACCACGTTTGCTGGGAACCGCGCTCCTTTGGCAAATGAGCGACTGCCTGCCGAAATCTCAATGTGTGTACCTGACATGCAAAAGGGCCATGGATAGGGATCCCCGTTCATTTGTACCCCTTGAGACCACAAGGGGTCGTCCAAGTAATTCGACGATTGACACTTTAGGCAATCTTCCCCCAGGTGTTCCCGTCCAGTATTTGATTGGTGACCATTTCGTTCCGACTTAAGAGAGCGTTTCGACGCTGGTACAACCACTTGACCGAGATGATAAGTTGGATCGTGACCCCTCAGCTCCTTCATCCTATACCAGCTCAACGGATGGTTGAAGGCATGTCGGAGCTACCCATATTGAACAGCGAAGGGGCCGATTCATTAACATCATCGTCATCATCATACACCACTTTTGTTGGGAACCGCGCTCTTTTGGCAAATGAGCGGTTACCAGCCGAAATCTCAATGCGCGTACCTGGCGCGCAACGGACCATGGATAGGGATCCCAGTTCACTTGTGCCACTTGAGACCACAAGGGGTCATCCAAGTAATTCGACGATTGGCACAGTAGGCCGTCTTCCCCCAGGGGTTCCCGTCAAGTATTTGATTGGTGACCATGTCGTTCCGACTGAAGAGAGCGTTCCGACGCTGGCACAACCAGTTGATCGGGGTGATCAGTTGGATCGTGAACCCTCAGCTACCTTAAAAGATGATGACCCGAGCTTCGAGTTTTCATCGGGCAAGGAAGCCAATCGGCGCGCCCCAGACATAACGCGCGGCGAGAGATAGCACAGGGGAGACGCCAGCGGCGAAGCGCCCCAATGTCCCTCACGATGCGAGCATGGAGCATGACTCGCCGATGCAGGCTTCCAGTTTAATTGGAAGTATGCCCGATGATCAGATCCATCCCGTAGCGCAAGAAACCGCAGGGGTAGCCCCTGCCGAGATGCCGCCCCCACGTTTGAACTTCAGACAGGCGATTTATCGATCGCCTTTGGCGTCTAGGACGCGCGCGAGGTCATGGAGCAGCCAGGGGTCCCCATCGGGATGCCCCATGATAAACGCAAGTTGTTGTGCCCGAGGGCCCCGCTGCCCCTCGTCGGCCGAGGGCCGATTCCCAGGGGTGGGCTTCGAGTTCCGACGGCCCGCGCCGACGCCTTGTGCGCGGAAGTTGCTCGCGCGCGCTATCATTGTAATATCGCTTGGCCTTGCTCGGAGTGCGTTATATCAAAGAGCGCCATTGTCGCCGCCTCGCCCTCCTGGAATGGCAGCAGAAAGAGTCGGGGAACAGTGCAGCCAAAGAAAAGGGGCCCCGTGCACGATTGGCAGCACTGGCACATATGATCCAAAGACACATGGACGAGCAACCCTGGCAGATGCGCACCGAAAAAAAGTTTCTCCAGGCCCCGCGACAGGCCCACCTGGGTCAATGGGCTGCATCGGAGGCAGCTCAGCTGGCCCCGGTTGAAGCCGCGAGGGGCAAGAAGGATTTGAAATAATCGATCGAAACGAAGCAGAAGAACCAACATGCAAAGTTGCGGGGGACATGGCTGAGAGGGGAAGGCAAACGCGCCGCCCCCCGCAAAGGGCAGAACAAGCGGCAAGGGGCTCGCAACAGTCGGCGGATGGCGCAACGCGAGTAGGGGTGGCTCAGGCATCGGCCTGGGCCCGGCGCGCGAACGAGGAGGCGCTTGCAGTTGCGCGGCGGGCGAATCTTCGAGCGCGCACTGCCGCTGATCCCGCGAGGGGTGAAATATTACATGGTTAAACATGCTGAGGATCTCGCCAAACAGAAAGACGCGCATGCCAATTTAATTCTCCTCCAGGAAGCGCGGGGCCCCATTCGCCAGCGCGGGTTGGCGGGTTCGTCAGCGCCCCGGGCTCAACCCGCGACGCGAGACGACGCAGCCCCGGCCCCGCTGGTTACCGCGGCGCGAATTGACGCTCGTTTCTCCGCGGGCGATGGGTCGAGCGGACTGGCGCTGGGGGCTCGGCCTCTGGCGCCGGGGGGGCCGACGAATCCAACCTCGAAGATAGTGCTGCGTTGGCGGATCGCCGCCGCCCTGGGGGGCGCCCGCATCCGTCGTTTTCGCCGAGCCGTAAACTTGGATAGCTGCATTCAATGTGCCGGGCCCTGCTGCGAGAGCCACATCGACTCAATGGCCGAACAGCGCGGGCAGCGCGCTCGGGGCTGCCGAGAAAAGGCTCGAGGGGGGACGCGGTTGATCTCGACGGCGGGAAGAGGAAGCGCGCGGCTCGCCTCGCCGAACAACGGGCGGACATTCTTGAGGGCGTCCGCAAAAAGCGAGAAGAGTTTGAGAAATCGAAGCAGAACGAAGAGAAAGTAGCTTTCGAGGGGCCCCCCCGAGCTGAGAGACGCCGACTGGGGCCGCCCCGAACACGTGGAACAATTATGCATCGGAGCGCCGTCGTTCCCCAAATTTTTCGAACCTTCGAAGGGTCCCCCGGCAGAAGCACTTGGCGCTTCCAATGAGATGCCCAATCGCGCGCCGAACTCGCCCGGCTCTGCCGGGGGTGGAGACGGGGGAAGAGGGGCGCCCCCCAACGGCGGGGGAGACGGGGAAGGCGGGGGCCGAGACGGCCTCGGACCTATCTCCAATCCCCTCGACTTGTGGAGACAGGTTGGCGAAATGACTGAGATTAAGTTGCTGCCAATTCTTCGTCCGACAGGCTTTCGCGAATGGGCGCCCCGCGAGATGGGGGCAATCTTGCCGGCGCCCCCTGATGCGCGGGGGGCGCTGCCCTGGGTCGCGCGCGCGCTGGGTCCTGAAGCAGACCTTCAAACTTTGAGTAGCTCGGGGAAGTTCGAGAGGCTCGTCATGATGATTGCTTCGGACTTACCAGAGAAATTTTGCAAGGCGAGACAGAGGAATGACCATCCGCCGCGATGGGCGCATCTCATCGCGCAGATTTCGCGAATGTAACATGTCGCGCATAATGAATCACGATTGCTCACGGGACGAGAGATGACGCGTTCGACTTGCCATTGGCTTTCCACGCGCGCGGAGCATGGCAAGAACACGGTCGCCCAAGATTGGTTCGAGGTTTGTCATGAATACGAATTGTCCCGTTCAAGACTTGTGCCATTTTTACAAAGCACGGATGTCTCTGCATGATGATCCCCGCGGGGTTCTAGACAGTCTCCTGAGATGGCTGCGGCCATTCACGAGCACATCCATGAGCACATGATGCTTGTTTCGAAGATGCACTGGGCAATCGAACGCCAAGACAGGAACGGATGTTTAGACGTGCGAGTGGTCACTGAACCAACTGCAAAAATGCAAGGACAAGGAACGGGGCGAATTTAATTTAGACCGTTCGAGAAGTATTCTCAATCAGCGAGGAAATTGCGAGAGCAAATCTGCCGCCCCGGGCCCGATTGATCCCCAGAAGTCTTCGGGGAAACCCGCGGGCGCAGTCAGGGGCGGACGAATGGTGAAAAACGCCACCTGCACATCTGTGTTCAGAGGGGCCACCTGCCCCGCAAAAAACCGGCGACGCCCGTTCAG